GCTTCCTTCACACTCCAAACTTCACACTCCAAACTTCACACTTCTCACTTCGCACTTCACACTCCACACTTCACTCACACTTCACACTTCACAGTCCACACTTCACACTTCTCACTTCTCACTGCTTCCTTCACACTCCAAACTTCACACTTCTCACTTCGCACTTCACACTCCACACTTCACAGTCCACACTTCACACTTCTCACTTCTCACTGCTTCCTTCCGACTCCAAACTTCACACTCCAAACTTCACACTTCTCGCTTCGCACTTCACACTCCACACTTCACTCACACTTCACACTTCACAGTCCACACTTCACACTTCTCACTGCTTCCTTCACACTCCAAACCTCACACTTCACACTTCACACTGCGCTCTTCGCACTCCACACTCCACACTGCACAGTCCACACTTCACACTTCTCACTTCACACTTCTCACTTCTCACTGCTTCCTTCACACTCCAAACTTCACACTTCTCACTTCGCACTTCACACTCCACACTGCACAGTCCACACTTCACACTTCTCACTTCTCACTGCTTCCTTCCCACTCCAAACTTCACACTCCAAACTTCACACTTCACACTTCTCACTTCACACTCCACACTTCACTCACACTTCACACTTCTCACTTCTCACTGCTTCCTTCACACTCCAAACCTCACACTTCACACTTCACACTTCACACTGCGCTCTTCGCACTCCAAACTGAAACTTCACACTCCACACTTCACACTTCACAGTCCACACTTCACACTTCTCACTAATCACTGCTTCCTTCACACTCCAAACCTCACACTTCACACTTCACACTGCGCTCTTCGCACTCCAAACTGAAACTTCACACTCCACACTTCACACTTCTCACTTCCCACTGCTTCCTTCACACTTCACACTTCACTCTTCACGCCCCACACTTCACACTGCTCTAAACGTACGTCCAACAAAAAAACACTAGTGCCAAAATGGAGAAAATCTGCTAACAAACCCATTTCGCAGCCTTCATGCAGCCACTCCAAGACGATTTCCGAGATCCAGCTGCAAAAGACAATAGTATTACGAATGCAGCCACAGCACGAAGCAACCTTGACGCAACCATTACAATGCGATCTGCAGAGACTGAGTTGCAAAGCACAATAGAACTACGCGCAACGGCGTCGGAAATTGTAGCTCCAAAACCGGATCTCGACGCCAGAGCGAAAAAAAAGACGATTTTGAAGCACTTTTTAAAATGATTTTTAGAAGGAAAATCACTAGCGCCAAAATGGAGAAAATCTGCTAACAAATCCATGTCGCAGCCTTCATGCAGCCACTCCAATACGATTTACGAGATCCAGCTGCAAAAGACAATAGTATTACCAATGCAGCCACAGCACGAAGCAACCTTGACACAGCCATTACAATGCGATCTGCAGAGACAGAGTTACAAAACACAATAGAACTACGCGCAACGGCGTCGGAAATTGTAGCTCCAAAACCGGATCTCGACGCCAGAGCGAAAAAAAGACGATTTTGAGGCGCTTTTTAAAAGAATTTTTAGAAGGAAAATCATTAGCGCCAAAATGGAGAAAATCTGCTGACAAATCACTGTGGCAGCCTTCATGCAGCCACTCCAATACGATTTACGAAGTCCAGCTGCAAAAGACAATAGTATTACGAATGCAGCCACAGCAGGAAGCAACCTTGACGCAGCCATTACAATGCGATCTGCAGAGACTGAGTTGCAAAACACAATAGAACTACGCGCAACGGCGTCGGAAATTGTAGCTCCAAAACCGGATCTCGACGCCAGAGCAGAAAAAGTTGATTTTTGAAGCGTTTTTTAAAAAGAATTGAAATAGAAAATGAAAGCAGGCAAAATCTGAAAGAATCCAGCTGCAGCAAGTTCACGCAGCCATTACAATGGCATTACGTCCTCAGCTCGTCCACCGAAGCATGTGAAACCTTCTAGACATTGCGGGAACGATCCTACAGTTGCAAAGCACAATGGAATTCCATCGGCAACTCCTCCACCAGCACCACTTGCAATGCCATTTGCATTGCGGGAACGATCCTACAGTTGCAAATCACAATGGAATTCTGTCGACCGCACATGCACGAAAAACACTTGAACCCCCATTTACAATGCGGAACCGATCCGAGAATGATCCGACCATGATCCGACCACACACGAGACCGTCTCGCACCCGTCGCACCGCAGAGGTAGATCATCGAGGTTCGGGGACGGACTTTGTATGGGAAAACATAGGCTTTCGTGCATCTGCTATCTCTCAAAAACGCATTTCGTGCGAGACTTCCTTCAAAACTCCATCGGCAACTCCTCCACCAGCACCACTTGCAATCCCATTTACAGTGAGGGAACGATCCTAGAGTTGCAAATCACAATGGAATTCCATCGGCAACTCATCCACCAGCCCTAATCTTCCTAGAAGCTTTGTTTTAGAGCTGGCAGCTCTAATTTGGCATTCTAGGGTCCTAGAAGCTCATTTGGGAAGCTCTAATTTAGAGCTGGCAGCTTTAAATTAGAGCTGGCAGCTCTAAATTAGAGCTTCCCAAACAGGGCTGGCAGCTCAAATTTAAGGCAGCCGCCTTAAATTTGAGCTTCCAGGATTTTTGGTTAAAAAACCACCCTAGAAGCTCTAAAATAGAGCTTCCCAAATGAGCTTCTAGAAGCCCTATTTTTTTGGCATGCCTGCAGCCCATTTTTGCAAGAGAAAAATGAACATATACACACATACATATTTATTTCTATATTTATATAGATAGATAGAATATATACATGTATTTGGCAAAGGTTGCAAAGGAACCATATTTAATCAACATATATGGTCTAACATACTTTTTGATCACAACTGCAAGCTGATTTCATCGCCATGGCAAAGCTGTTGCCTGTGAAGCCTGTGGAAAGGCTGGAAAAGGACAAAGTCAAGCAGCTGGCAGCATTGATCAAAGGCTGCATACCTGATTGCAAACTTGAATACTTCCCAGCAGATCCAGAGAAAGCTTGCAATAGGCTGCAAGCCTTTCTATGTTTGTGGTACCCAGCCACAAGCAACAAGAAAGCAGATGAGAGGAAAGCTTTCTCAGAAGCCTGTGGAAGGCTGGAAAGCCATGAGGCAAAAGCGATTGTGAACAATCTTCATGAATACAAAGCTTGGCTGCTTAGAAAAAAAAGAAACTTAAAGACAGGTGACAGAACAGACCCTACCCTCATGGCCTTGTTCAATGCAATCCTGCAAAAGGATAACCAGGGAATCAATAGAAGCAGCAGCACCATGAAGATGAGGGGAGAAGAAGAGCTTGAGAAAGCTAATGAAAAGCCTGTGAAAAGGCTACGAAGCAAACAGCCTCTGAATGACAAAGCAGAAGACAAAGCAGAGGTGCCAAAGCCTGCAAAGGCCATATGCTTTGCTTTTGACACCCCGGGGAGCCAAAAGTCCAAAAGCTTTGACATAGTGTCTGTTTCCAGTTCCAGTGGTGGCTTTCTGGCACCTGGAGAGTTTTCAGAAGAGCCACCTGAGCCTGCAAAGGCTGGAAAGGCAGGCACAGAAAAGAAGCCTGCTGCTCATGTGCCTTGGAAAAGGCCAGATGAAGCAAAGGTAGTAATAAAGAAGTCTGCAAAGGCTAGAAATAAGAAAGACTGGGTAGTGTCAAAGGGCTTTGGTTTCATCCATGAAACCAAGGCTTCCCAGAAAGCATGCATCAATGCAAAGCCAGAGATGGCTGACAAACCACATTGTCTAGTCAATGTTCAGCTGGCAGCAGGCCAGCTGCAGGACATGGTGATGAAGAAAGTGTTTGCAAGGCACAGGAAGAAAATATGACAAAGGCAAGCTTGGTTCACTACAAGAATGAGCTTTTGGAAGCTGGGGACAGCTCATAAATTGCAGAGCCTGTGGGGGGCTGTCAAAGTCAAGCTGGAAAGAGCTATTGAAGATGGAGACAGCTCTGTGTGAAGCTTGGGAAATGCTGAAAATTTCTGGTAAACCACCAAGGAGCTTGCAAAAGGCTACCAAGACCTATCAGCTTTCGAGTTTTGAAAAATGTAGCAGCTTGCTGCAGCAGCATCTGTAGAAATGGGAAGGGGGTCAGCTGGCAGTGCAGAAGTATGCAACTCTGCTGCATGTGCAACTCTGCTGCATGGGCTCAAAACAGAACTTGTAGAAGATGAGGACATGGGGGGTGGGAAGGAGGAGCCTGCCGAGGCTGGTAAAAAAAAAGAAAAAGAAAAAGAGAAGAAAACGCAAAAAAAAAGCAAGGGAAAGATGAGTCTGAGGATCCTGGGGATGGCCCTGATGGCCCACCAGGAGGCCCAGGAGGAGCCAGTGATGGCTCAAGAGGCTCTGGCCTGGGGCCTCCCTTGGTGGCTGCAACTTGAAAAAGTTAAAGCAGCCAAAAAAAGCCTGCAAAGGCTAGGAGTGAAAGCTTGAGGAAGGCTTAGGAGGTAGCCTGGGAAGGCTGAATGTAGGCAGCTTGGAAGAGGCTCCCAGCTGCAAACACTGCAGCTCCTGGCACAGACCAGTGAGAGTTTTTGAAAAACAGGACTGCTGCAAAGGGGAAGGGGATGGGCTGGTTGAAGACCACAAAAAAAATAGTGGCAGTAAGTAAGGGATAGGGAGTACCCACAAAAGCCGTTTGGATGGGGAAGGTTTCCTTTTTGGTTGCTGAGTTTTGCAGAAGCCTGCAAAGGTTAAAAAAAATATAAATCAATATTTTTCAATTGTGGTTTTCAGACAAAAAAGTCTGAATTTCAGACTTTCAGACTTTTTACTTTACATTTAAGTTATTAATTAAAACTATGAAAATCTAAAAGTCTGAAAGTCTGAAATTCAGACTTTTGGGACTTTTTTCCCCAGAAAATGAAGCTGATCACCAAAAATTCTGCAGCCCTTTGGCACAAACTAGAAAGGGTTTTAGGGATCTAGTCAGGCATGAAGCGGCCTGCAGCAATGATAAAACAGGAGAAGCCAACTCCCAAAAAAAAAGGCAAGAGAACAGGAGCCTGCAAAGGCTGAGTTGGGAACTGAGCCTGGAGAGGCTGAGCCTGGAGAGGCTGACAGCCAGCAAGTGGCTGATCAGGAGCCTGCAAAGGCTGCACCTGCAAGTGGCTCCAAGCCTGAAAAGGCTTTGCCAGCAATGACCACAGAGAAAGCCAAAGCTAAGGCAAAGGCCTTGCCAGCTCCTAGCAAAGCACAATGGAATGATGTGCATTACACAATGAAGAAGCTTGAGAAAGCTGGCAAGATGGATTTGCCTGAGAAATGGAAGAAAGCTTGCTTGGGAGGTCACCAATGCAAGCGTGAGTTTTACTACCACACATTTCACCTAGATCCAGAGGCCAGCAAAAAAGAAGTTCATAAGATTAGCCTGGAAAGGCTTTCGGTGGAATCAACCAAGTTGAGAGGTTGGTTCACCAAATGGCAGCTTGGGGAAATGCAAGGTGCAGTCGCCACCCACCCCATGTTTGAACAGCTCTGCATAGAAGCCTGCAAAGGCTTACCTGAAAGAGATCATGAGAATGAAGCCTGGGCAAGGCTGGGTGTGAAACAATACTATTTCGAACATTTTGAAGCTGAGAAGGAAAGGCATGTGAATGAAAGTACAACTGCGGCCAAGCAAACAGTGGAAGTCTCTGACAGGCAAGATTTCCAAAAGGCAGAGAAGGCCCTCATGGCTGAGCCAGAAAATGGCCAAGTGGTTTTGGGAAAGAAAAGCCACAAGGCTGAGGCAGCCGCCAGTGCAGGGGAAGAAAAGCCTGAGGAGGCTTACAAAAAAGCATACCAAAGCCTGAATAAGGCTGCGAAGGCTTTCTCAAGTGCAGTTGACAAGCTGCAGTTGCTGAAGACAAGCTTGGCAAAAAGCAGAAGGAGCAGCCCAATGCACAATTGGCTGCCAGTGTAGGTGAAATGGAAAGCTTACAAAATCAACATGAAGACTTGAAAAGTCAGTGGGTCACCAGGCTGGCTGCAGTTGCCAGCTCATTCCCTGCTGATGCAGCCAGTGATGGCTCAGAAACTGAGAAGCTTCAGCAATGGAAGCAAGAAATTGAGGAGCAAAACAAAAGCCTGGGTAAGGCTTTGAACCCACACAGATTGTGGGCCAAGAATGCAGGTTTCATTTAAACCATGTGGCCTGCACAAGTTTTGGGGAGGGATTGAAGCCTGGAAAGACTGCTAAAAGTTTTGCACATAGTAGAAGCTTGGAAAAGGCTCGACCGAACCTGCAAAGACAGGTACATAGCAACTTGTGCCCCTGCTGGAAAAAAGAAAGCAGCTGCAGCTGCTGCTGCTGCTGGTTTTGCTAGGTAGCTGTGTGCACATGTTCAGCAGGTCAAACAAAGGTTTGCTGGCACTGCCAGGTGAGCTCCAAATTGCTTTTTTCCTCGCAGCCACTTTAACTTCAAGCATGAAGCTCTGGTTTGTTCTAAAAGTTTTTTCTGCATGTTTTTTTCTCTAAATGGTTATAAATTTGTTAGCCAATACCTGGCTCTAGAAGAGCATGCTGTAACTTGGGACCTGCAAAGGCTTGCACCCTAAAGATGTATGGAACTATCGAGATGAAACATTTGGGTATACAATGCAGCAGCTATGGTTCAGAAGAGGTGGCAAAACCAAGAGCCCCAAAGTCGAAAGTGAATCAGTTTTGCTAAGGTTGGCAAACAGCACAGAGACCTGGAGCTTGCAAAAGGCTATGGAAGCAAAGCTTGAAAAAGCTAACAGGGAAGCCTGAGAGAGGCTTAATGTATGAGAGCCAATGAGCTCCAAGACTTTCGTGAATGCCAGAAAAAGAAGCTGCTGCTGTGTGCAACATGGTGAACATATGTAATACATGATCAATGTTAAAATCTAAAGAAAACATTGCCTGGAGAAGCTCTAAATTAGAGCTTCTAGAAGCTCTAATCTAGAGCTTCTAGAGAAGATTTATCATTGCTCTAGAAGCTCTAAATTAGAGCTTCTAGTGATTTTTGCTAGAAGCTCGAATTTAGCGCTGCCAGCGCTAAATTTGAGCTTCTCATTTTTGAGCTTCTAGAAAAGAGCTTCTAGGAAGATTAGGGAGCACCACTTGCAACCCCATTTACAATGCGGGAACGATCCTATACAGTTGCAAATCACAATGGAATTCTGTCGACCGCGCATGCACGAAAAACACTTGAAACCCCATTTACAATGCGGAACCGATCCGACCATGATCCGAGACCGATCCGACCATGATCCGACCACACACGAGACCGTCTCGCACCCGTCGCACCGCAGAGGTAGATCATCGACGTTCGGGGACGGACTTTGTATGGAAAAACATAGGGTTTCGTGCATCTGCTATCTCTCAAAAACGCATTTCGTGCGAGACTTCCTTCAAAACTCCATCGCCAACTCCTCCACCAGCACCACTTGCAATCCCATTTACAGTGAGGGAACGATCCTAGATTTGCAAATCACAATGGAATTCCATCGGCAACTCATCCACCAGCACCACTTGCAACCCCATTTACAATGCGGGAACGATCCTATACAGTTGCAAATCACAATGGAATTCTGTCGACCGCGCATGCACGAAAAACACTTGAAACCCCATTTACAATGCGGAACCGATCCGACCATGGTCCGAGACCGATCCGACCATGATCCGACCACACACGAGACCGTCTCGCACCCGTCGCACCGCAGAGGTAGATCATCGAGGTTCGGGGACGGACTTTGTATGGAAAAACATAGGCTTTCGTGCATCTGCTATCTCTCAAAAACGCATTTCGTGCGAGACTTCCTCCAAAACTCCATCGGCAACTCCTCCACCAGCACCACTTGCAATCCCATTTACAGTGAGGGAACAATTTCTTTGCTAACTCTTTCTGTGACTAACTCTTTTCCTCACTAACTCTTTCTTTGACTAACTCTTTCCCTCACTAACTCTTTCTTTGACTAACTCTTTCCCTGACTAACTGTTTCTTTGACTAACTCTTTCTTTGACTAATTCTTTCCCTGACGAACTCTTTCTTTGCTAACTCTTTCTGTGACTAACTCTTTCCCTCACTAACTCTTTCTTTGACTAACTCTTTCCCTGACTAACTGTTTCTTTGCTAACTCTTTCTTTGACTAACTCTTTCCCTCACTAACTCTTTCTTTGCCTAACTCTTTCTTTGCTAACTCTTTCTTTGACTAACTCTTTCCCTGACTAACTGACTAACTCTTTCTTTGACTAACTCTTTCCCTGACTAACTCTTTCTTTGACTAACTCTTTCCCTGACTAACTGTTTCTTTGACTTCTTTCTTGACTAACTCTTTCTAACTCTTTCCCTCACTAACTCTTTCTTTGACTAACTCTTTCCCTGACTAACTCTATTCTTTGACTAACTCTTTCCCTGACTAACTATTTCTTTGCTAACTCTTTCTTTGACTAACTCTTTCCCTTTAACTCTTTCTTTGACTAACTCTTTCCCTGACTAACTGTTTCTTTGCTAACTCTTTCTTTGACTAACTCTTTCCCTGACTAACTCTTTCTTTGACTAACTCTTTCCCTGACTAACTGTTTCTTTGCTAACTCTTTCTTTGACTAACTCTTTCCCTCACTAACTCTCTTTCTTTGACTAACTCTTTCCCTGACTAACTGTTTCTTTGACTAACTCTTTCTTTGACTAACTCTTTCCCTCACTAACTCTTTCCCTCACTAACTCTTTCTTTGACTAACTCTTTCCCTGACTAACTGTTTCTTTGCTAACTCTTTCTTTGACTAACTCTTTCCCTCACTAACTCTTTCTTTGACTAACTCTTTCCCTCACTAACTCTTTCCCTTAACTCTTTCTTTGACTAACTCTTTCTCTGACTAACTCTTTCTTTGACTAACTCTTTCCCTGACTAACTGTTTCTTTGACTAACTCTTTCTTTGACTAACTCTTTCCCTCACTAACTCTTTCTTTGACTAACTCTTTCCCTCACTAACTCTTTCCCTGACGAACTCTTTCTTTGCTAACTTTTTCTTTGACTAACTCTTTCCCTGACATTCTAAAAGTCCGTAACACGGAAGTTTCTCCCCCTAAACTTCCTTTGATTATATGACATGACGTGCTGTATTTAGGCAACTTTTTGCTTAGGAATATGTTTGCAGCTAGAATTGGGAGATCTATTTGGTGGTTTGTTAAACACAATGTGGTAAACCCAATCTCAGTCTCATAAACCATCCCCAAACCATCACCATTTTTACGGGTTGTATAAACCATCCCCTATCATGGTAGGTTTATGGCATTGGATTTAATTACCAGTATTACCACATTAAGATTGAGGCCTCGAACTTGTGCCATGACCGTGGCAACTTTAGTTGGCAATGGCCCATGGCAACATCAGGAGTACAAAAAACAATTAAGAAAACACATAAAGATGGCAATAACGGTGGTTTATGACCTGAAATGTCCATAACTACATAATTCGTGTGTAAATCTCCTACGTGTGCGCAAACCCAAATCATATGAGCCCAATCAATCCCAATCATATGTTTGGTAACACTAAATGTAAGAAACAATGGCCACCCCCAATTCCAATCATCTCCCATTTCTATCCCATTTCTATCCCATTTCTATCCACAGCTAACAGCTGCATTTTCATTGGTTAAATCCCAATTACTGTTAAATCATCTTCGACTGTTAAATCACCATTTTTTCAAGTTAAATCATGTAAAACACCATTTTTCATAGTCAAATCTCAATTTTTCTGGGTTAAATCACAATTTTTCATGGTCAAATCATGTCAAATCACAATTTTTCATGCTGAAATCACCGTTTTTTGCCTTGGAAGCTCCCCCTTTCCGCTGTTTCTTTGGGGACGCCCCAAAGAACCGCCTCGATGCGAAAGACGCCATCCTCGCCCACCACAGTGCTGCGTGTGGCCGAGCGCAAGGCCCTACCAGGGGAGCTCACCAGGGGATTTATAGGGGATATGATGGTGATTTATAGGGGATTTATATGGGATTTATATGGGATTTATAGGGGATATGATTGTGATTTATAGGGGATTTATATGGGATTTATAGGGGATATGATGGTGATTTATAGGGGATTTATATGGGATTTATATGGGATTTATAGGGGATATGATGGTGATTTATAGGGGATTTATATGGGATTTATAGGGGATATGATGGTGATTTATAGGGGATATGATGGTGATTTATATGGGATTTAAATGGGATTTATATGGGATTTATAGGGGATATGATGGTGATTTATAGGGGATTTATATGGGATTTATAGGGGATATGATTGTGATTTATAGGGGATTTATATGGGATTTATAGGGGATATGATGGTGATTTATAGGGGATTTATAGGGGATTTATAGGGGATTTATATGGGATTTATATGGGATTTATAGGGGATATGATGGTGATTTATAGGGGATTTATATGGGATTTATATGGGATTTATAGGGGATATGATTGTGATTTATAGGGGATTTATATGGGATTTATAGGGGAGATGATGGTGATTTATAGGGGATTTATATGGGATTTATAGGGGATTTATATGGGATTTATATGGGATTTATAGGGGAGATGATGGTGATTTATAGGGGATTTATATGGGATTTATATGGGATTTATAGGGGATATGATGGTGATTTATAGGGGATTTATATGGGATTTATATGGGATTTATAGGGGATATGATGGTGATTTATATGGGATTTATATGGGATTTATAGGGGATTTATATGGGATTTATATGGGATTTATAGGGGAGATGATGGTGATTTATAGGGGATTTATATGGGATTTATATGGGGATATAGGGGATTGGTGATTTATATGGGATTATAGATTTATATGGGATTTATATGGGATTTATATGGGATTATATGATGGTGGGGATTTATAGGGGATTTATATGGGATTTATATGGGATTTATAGGGGATGA